CATGGTCAGCAAAAGGTTGCAAAAACAATTTGCCACTCAAGGCAAGTATCCAATTTCCAATAATGGGTATCGAGTTAGTAGAAGGTTGAGCTTGCGCAAGCTGAAATGCCACATGGCAGGAGCTCGTTTTCCCGCTGAGGCTTTATGCGCCAGACGGGAAGAGCAAGCGCGTTCCTGTCCGAGACGACACATTTGCAGGGACGTTCATCTAGCCCAACGGTGGCCACACAAATGGGCAAAGCAATATTCTCCGAAATGCGGCCTTCGGGTAGCTTAAGGCGATCTGAGAAATGCTTCTCCACGAACTCTCGCAAGCGTGACCTTGGAAGACATAATAGAAGGGCCAACCTTATGGTTCACAGGACTATTTACCCACAACTCTTCAATGGCTTCGGGTTAATTGGGAGTCCGCATCACACAGGTGTGTGCCTAGCCGAAGCTGAAGTATCATGGGGACAAGTTCTGGGGTCCGGCCTCCAGCAACTGTGGCATTATGGGAAGGAAGGGGGGTAACCAGAAGCCAACTTAGCCTCTCCTTGAACTTCACAAACAGTCTTTGCGCGACCAACGTCATGCTCCAGCCTGAAGCCGCCAGAATGACGGGATAGAATACACCCTAAACCCTAAACTCCAAACCCTAAATAGAAAGAGTAGCAAGCTGCAGCCTGAGGATGCAGCCCTGATATTTGATCACCAGCTTGCTCGTCGACGTACCTGCACAGCAGCATTAGGGTTTGGCGCTGTCTCTAGGGTTCAGGGATTTTAAGCGACACTTGGGGTGCTACCCCTTATACTAACATAGTTCTTAATAGGGATTATGGGGTACGAGAATCCCGAATAAGGACTGCTAGTACTAATATAAGGGGGCACATTGCAAGGCGACACCCTCATTGCTAAGAGAAGTGCTCCTTCCTGCTAAGAGTAAGCCTCGGATGAATCAAGACTGGAAAGGTATCCTGACAGTAACCTGCCACTTCGTCAACCCGCTCATCTTCAGAATGGTGTTGGCTTGCGCCCGACGTATCACAGGTCTGGCTCCTTATCGTAGGAAGTATAGCCTAGAATCGAAAAGGCAGAAGAACAGTTGCTTGCTGGATGTGCCTTTCAAAACTTTAGCAGGATCCAATTGGTTTTAAGTGTTTGCAGTTCGTGGGTATGGGCGATGAGCTCGACAACGTAGGCAAAATGGAATTAATACAGCTCACCTGCGCTGCCTTTAAGCTTGTTCTTCAGGGAGCCGACGGCGCCTGTGGAAGCCACCATGTCCCGAGGTAGGGGCAAGCTTCAAAAACCCGCCTTTCTTCATACTCGTTCAAACATATCATTCCAACCAGGCACATCTATTCTGCGAAGCTGCAGATCTGTAACTTTTTTGTGAAATCCCACACATCTATGAGAGTGTGGTCCAAACATTGCAGGGGGCACATGTTTCCTGCGCCGGTCCTTTATGTGCACAAGAGCGCTGCGATGTCAAATTTTAAGGCCGGGGCTGCAAGCGCAACGTTCGCAGTAGATGGTGGGATATTTCAGAAATAGATTGGAACAACGGGTGAAGCCTTTAGGGTTGAATTTGCTTGTCTTTGAGCAAGCAGGGCTGAAGCAAGGTCGCCCATGAAAAACATATGCTATGGACATGCAGGCGACGTGCGCAGCGGCCTCCGGGGACCATAGGCGCCCTTTGCGGCTTTGGTCAAAAGCCTTTGAGCACTCTCCTTGATGTCAGATGCGTCCTTGGCTTGTCCAGTCGAGCCACACATCCGCCTGGTAACGCCCAATGGGTCAGAAGACGTCCGACTTTAACTCCATGGGGTGCAGGCAAGTGACATTGAAGAACTCACCTCAATAGCACGTTTTGGTCAACGTCAACGTCTTTACGGCACCCCGCGATGGCCAAAGCCTTTGCGCCTCATGCCCGCGAGACTCGAATTATCCCAACAGCAATGAGCAGGCAACCCCTTAACAGCTTCAGGCAATCGCTTCCACCTAAATTTTAAAGACACCGACACCACCCCGCTCCCAATGATAAAAAAACTGTCAAACTGTTGCAATATCCAGGAGTGTTGGGTTTTAGGGCCAGAGCCCACGTGTTCAGCGCTTCGTGCAGCCGGGCCCGTGTGCCCAGGGCAGAGAGGAAGCGATGATGCCGCTTGGTTCTGTGCCCTCATGGGGTCGAGGTGGTTATGGTCGGTCTTCCGACGCTTGAACGGCTTGCGTCAGGCACTGAAAGTGTGTTTTCCCACGTAGTTAGGTAGTCGGCGGCCTCCGCCGAGCTTGTTCCCATCGGAAAATCCCATAATGTCCCAGCTGCATGTTGTGTTCGACCATATTGCAAGCTGTGCCTTTTTCACGAACTACGGCCTCCGGTGTTTTCCGTGCACAGAAATTGTCACGGCCTTCTTCGCGCAATGCCCCTTGGACAAGCAGGCTCAAGCCAATCAGTCTTGGCAGGATTGAAATCGCAACACCGAAATGCCAGTCCCAATGATTCGCGATCATGCCAATTAATCGCTTACTGCTACTGCACCGGAGTTTCTTAAGCAGGTTGAAGCTAAACGCGTGCTCACCGCACAAGCTGTGTGATCGTGATCTCCCCTTAGTGACTGCGAAACCAATCCCGAACTACAACGCTCACCCCTACAAGATACCGTGAATATTTAAACAGCCTTAAACAAGCGGGGAAACCCTAACATTTTCCCTGATGGAACTCTCTGCTTCACCAGGTGGCCGGTGGTCTCCGTCAAGTACTTCCAGCCACCTCACATTTTGGCACAGGGAAGTGCAATGGCCAGCATGCTGGGCCTCTCTTGCCGATCCCTCATACAGCAGTGACTCATGGCAGCCATCGGGTTCCATTTAGGCTTACCATGTTTGGGGGTGTGAAGCTAAACATTCCGCAGTTTTCAAGGAAAGCCAAACCTACACAACCCGTTTACCAAAAGGGGACCCCAAGATGGTTTGGGTGATCAACCAAGGTCTGGGAGAGTGGAGGCTGTTGGGGACCTCGATTCTAGGGGGTTTTGCGTGTAGGGGCTACCACTCTGCACTCCCCTCGACCTGAACAGAAAACACTGTCTTCTGTTGGAGGCCCTAAGTGGGTGTGACCCAGACCCTGTCAAGCTGGACCCCGGACCAAGATGTACTGAGACCCAGGTCCAACCCCCAGAGCATGTAGGTCTGATTGCAATAGCAAACATCGATCCGGCAAGCTTCAGGACTAGAAAGCAAAGCAGCGGTTCGAAAGAAATGCTGCCGCAGTCAGGGGTTTCATGGGGAATCTTGCAAGTTCAGAAACCCGATGCGCCTATGAGGTTCCGGTTCATGAGCAAAGGCCTCGGGCTCAAGATTTCCAGATGCCCCCCCTGGGCGGAACATGACTAGCCTATGAGGCACGACCATGCACGACCTCTTAGTCCCTTGCACAACACACACGGGCAGCGAACACACCCGACCCCCCGAATAAGGACTGAGTTAGCTTTACCTATGTTGCAGAAAACTGCGTTGTGGCCAGGGTACACATCAAGTGCCAGGGCCTGTGTGATGACTCGTGGTGATGCATCGTGCACTTGTGGCAGAAAAAGGAACCGACTTTGCTTCCTGAGCTGCCATCCAACCGAGGCAGGCAACTGAACTCTTGACAAAGAAAGGCATAGATTCAGCTTCTTAGACCCTATCTAGGCAACTCCCGTCCGTTCTGAATGGTTCATGGAACTTGCTTGGACATGTCAGCTCGGACAACTTCGACAGTGAGAAGTACAATGCTACAAGCATCTACAAGCTGTCCTTGCAGCAGCAGTAGATGATTTCGATAAGGTTGAGTTAAGCTTCACATAGGCAAAGAACTCGTCCTGGGACAAAAATGTCGTCTGAGTAATCAAACCTCAGGAGGTGAGCGTCTGCTCTCGGATCGGCTGACCATCTTGTGTTGCACTGTTGCACCTGTTTAAATGGCATGGCTGCCGCAAACCTGAGCCAAAGCCTTCATCCACAAGGTTCTCAAAATGCATCCTTAAAGCAACCCAGCTTGTGGTCAATTTGCAATGTCGGAGAGGTTTCGCGCGATGAAGGCCCTTGTTGGTCCGAAGGGTGCTGGAGGCTTTCGGTGCCTTGTAGCCTGCAGGGCCCTTTGCGGGAGTCTTAGAAACTTTGGTGCAGATCCACGCGGAACTTTTAGGGCTAACAGGGCTTTTAGAGGGATTAACGGCTGAAAGAGTCGAGATCGCTCGAAAAATTGCCGCTCATGCCGAGGACCCTATTGACATCTGGGCGATTCTGGGCGGATTCATAAGGCAGCTGATCATAATGTGGTTCCCGGAGAATTGAAGCATCATCTTTGCCTCTCATTCTGGCTTGCGCGCACAAACAATGCAGCCCGGAAACCCTTACAGCTGCTGGGTATGCTGCACGCTTTTGTGCCTGTCAGGGGCGACTTGCCAGTAGAGCCACTTGCAGGAGCACGCAGCATGCTGCCCGAAGGCTAAGCGTGTCTGCAAGCGCAGCAATGTGCAGCATGGCACACAACATAAACAACCGCTTTTTCCTGCTGGTGCGGCGACCGCTGCATTTGGATTCTCAGGAGCTGCTAACTTGTGGAGCCTCTCCATCCAGCAATGCTTCGCGTCGCCGACAGGAATGTCTCTGTGATGCAAGGAATAAGACCATGACCAAAGCCATAATGATGGTGTCCGAACGGAAGAGAATCAAGCCCCCGTTCGGAAGATCCATCACCCACCCTCCCAGCACAGCCCCAGCTGCAGCCCCGCAAGCTGTGATGGACGACATGAATCCCTGAGCAGTGGAGATCATGTGCATGGGTACGTGCTCGTTCAAGTAATGCACCGTGGCCAGTGTGAAACAGCTGTAGGTCACACCATGAAGCGGTTCAAGCAGAAGCAGCCAAGCTGCTCCAGGAACAACCGTGTAGCCCAGCACGCGCACCACGAAGCTTCCCATGGCTATGGCTATGAGGATCGTGGGTCCTAGCTTCGGGACGATCTTTTCACTGACAGCGAAGATTGGGATCTCGAAAACAACTGTGACTGTAACACTGAATCCCATCAAAATGTCTGTTGAGTGAAAGCGTTGTTGCATATACAGGAAGAGGAACTGAAACACATGTTGCATACCCATGGCCTGGGTTGCAGCACAGAGAAGCCATGTAATCATCTCTGGCTTCGAGTAGATGATCTGCAACAGTGCACGCACGGAGGCTCGCTGCCTTGGCTGGGGCTCCATGCACGCTCGATTCGTGCGATTTGCATCATTCTGGCGGCGCTCTGAGCTCTCAGAGCTTCCATTGGCAGACGCACCCTCGTCAGTCCACCGCGACTGCAGAAGTAAGGAGAAGCAGGCTATGGCCAGCAGGGCGCTTAGTGCATTTCCGACAAAGAGAAGCTGAAGCTGCCCATGCTCCACGTCCAAGAGCCACCCAAGGACCGGATGAGCAATGCCCCATGAGACGGCACCCCACAAGCGAAGATTTCCGTAGGCCCCTTGACGGTCGAATCTTTCCAAGGTTCTCATGGTGATGCCTCGAAGCTGGCCGTAGTCATTCCCCCGTGCAGCGGTGTAACACATCATCATCGCGCAGCAGTAAATGAATCGGTAAGTGTGGTCCTGAATGTAGGGAGCCAAGCACAGCAGGGTCTGGAAAGCAGCGGCCGTGCCCAAGCAGCAGGCCAAAACCAGCTTCCTTCGACCAGTGCGATCCGCAACCAAGCCCCAAAATGACGAGGCAGGGATGCTTGCCAAAATGCTCAGAAGGCCAATGGTGCCGATCTCTCGCCCATCCAGTCCATAATGCGTATAGATGAGCACTGCAAAGCGCGCAAAAAAACTGTAGTACCTCAGCTTCTTCCGAGCCTTCCTGCAATTAACAAACTGATAGACTTAGAGTTCCCATCAAACAGAGGCTGCGGATCCCAAACTCTTTGCAGGAACTGCCGAGGCACAGGAATAGACAAAAGAAGCTAGCCGAAATGCCAAAAAACGCCGGTCGATGATCTTCCTGTGGTTGCAGCGTTTCAACGCCAGACATGGTCATGTCGGGAGTTGCGCTCTACAAAGACAAGGCCCAAAAGCCATCACAAGACTGTCCGGAGCGTTTAAGTTGAAATGCGTTTAAGTTGCTGCCCGACTTACCTTGTGAACAGTTGACCCGCGTGCGGTCGGCTGGAAACTGGCTGCGAGATGGAGCAAGCTGCCAACTCAGGTTTCTAGGATGCCCACTGATGAAGGGACTCGCTTGGTACATGAAGATTACGGGTGTGTCTAGGCACTGTTGGTGCCTCTCATAGCCCACAAGCTCTGGCAGGCAGCTGAGTTACTGAAGGCCTCAACTCATCAGGAACATGTCTAGAATCTCTTACCTAACAAAACCGCCTGCCTGTCTCCTGACTGACAACACCACTTGCCTCAAGGTGGTTTCGTTCTTAGCCGATTACCATGACAGCAAATCAAGTAAACCGTGAATCTTCCTAGCATCTTGGCTATGGGGTATGTGCTGTGCCCTGTAAAGACGATCACCCGTCGGAGCTGCACAACACAAGCCATCTTGACTCGTATCAGATATTCAAAATCTTCCAAGAAACATGGCCCTGGGCCCTGGACACAGGAAATCCCCAAAGCTTCTGTGCTCATTGCCCCACAAGAGCACCTGTCTCAAGCTTGCTCCGCAGGCAAACGTGCACCCAGCCTGGCTTGTTCTTGGTGGCCACCAGGACCCCTGTCATGCGCAGGTCGCCACACATGACCTCCAATGCCTGAAGGGCAGGCACGCCAGAGGTTGAATTAAGCTTAAGCTTTATCTCAAATGCACAGGACGTGCTTAGGCATTCAAAAAGTTGGGACAGACTGGGACAGAGCTGCTTGAGGCGCTCTCTTTTGAGGAGCCAAACTAGCAAATCAATCCCCATGTCTCATCCAACCCGGGGAGATGGAGTGGAATGTAAAGCTCCAAACCGCACCCATGCTCGCAAGCTTCCAGCCCAAGTCTGAGCGTTTCACGCTCAACGACGAACCACAACCAGAAACCAAACAGCGGCCTGTGCGATTCGAGGTCGTCCCAGAGTTTGGATCGCCAGTCCGCGAGGCAAACAAACGCTTAGTTTTTGTTTGTTCGGACTTTTACAGAATCCCACCTAGGGAACACATGGGAACACCAAGAGTGCAAGGGAACCGATGGGCTGACGATGTCAGCAGTGCTGGCAAATTGTCTTCTTCTGGCCGTGCCGTTGTGGGGTTGTCGACCCACATTGGAAAGGCTGTTCAAGCACGACAGCACTCCCTGATTCCCGAAACGAGTCGGAGAAACCCGTTTTGCAGAAATTCAGGTCCGCGATGGGCAGCGTGTTGCCAACAGGTAAAAATGCAGCGGCCATAGCAGTGCAAGGAGGCTTGCTGCGCCGGACCCACGGGCTTCACCACACGAGACACACGCTAGGAGGTCAACGTGCAGGATGTTTCCACAACCCCAGAAACGCACGGTCCAGGCGTTGTGCCCAGCTCGCTTGGGAAAGGTGCCGCGCGATCTCAGAGCGATACACAAGCAAGAGAAACAGACGCAAGAAACCGTCGAGCCAACGAGTGAAGCACAAGCGAACAATCCTTTTGATTCGATCTGGCCACCCTAGGGTCAAGCCTTCCATGGGTTTCATGGCGTGACACACTTCAATCTCGAAGAATATTTGGATGGAGAATGTGGCTGCAGGATGCAAAGAAACCGTGAGACTCATGACACCATTGTCCTGCCTCCTTTGCGAAGGTCCAGTTCTTGGCAAAGGAAGACCAGCCCACACAGTCCTGCAACTCACGATGCAGAGTGTACTTGTGCCAAGTACGAGCGGAATGACACCCGCTTCTGCAACCAAACTAAACCCAACGCAGGTTCAACATAGCCATCAATGCTCATGACTCACTACTACGTGGCGGCATGTCAAGCCTGTGAAGCAGCTCTTCTGGCACCGTCTTGCTCGATCTTTCTCCGAAATCAAGGACGGCTGGGGCAAAAAAGCGTTCTAGTGCAGGCACTGAACAAGGACCCTGTCAGTCCCTGGGCCCCCAAAAGCCCCACGAGTCCTGTTCAACATCTTGGTCCGACCCTGAGAAGGTAAAGTCGTACTTCTTTGGAACAGCCTCGAAGCACCCGTGAAACGAAAACATCGGCACTTTTTTTCACTTAACAGGTCCGGGGCGGGTGCTTCAATTGAAGAAGATAGCGAAGACAAGAACCCCGCACGTCGATGACACCTGCTTTCCCTTGGAGGCGTTTTGTTGGGCGCAACTCATTTCCCTAACTCAACCGATAATTGTGGGTTCTATGCAGCCGAGTTGGAGGTGCAGAATGGCAAATCAGAACCATTCTATACAATAACAGAAGCATGCTCTTGGAATTCGCTCTGAGGGTTACAAAGCTGGCCCTTGCCATCATTCCTGGGAGGGGGATGGCACTGACTGTCGTAGTTTGCAAGAAAATAGCGCCCTACCCCCTTGCAATCAGTTGACAATGAGTGGTGAACTCACATGCTCCCAAGACCCTTACCAGCCCAAAACTCCAGCCTTTGCAGGACCAGGTAAGGCAAAATCCGATTGCGACAGCAAGAGGAGCTTGACGTGGCTTGGGAAGACCTTTTCCTCAAGCGGGTCAGGTCTGGAGGTTGCTGGCGCTCGGGACTGTTATGGGTGAGGAGCAACTGCCAACTCTTCCAAGAGATTCAGTGACCAAGGCCGAAGAAAATTGAAAAGTTCGACGAGGGGGACCCCAAGCCCTACTCCTCTGGACCCTGCGTGACTTGTTTCTATGTAAACTTTGCTGTTCTGATTCTGTCCTCGGAGCCCGTCAGTAGTTACTCAGTAGTTGGCTGCACCATGGCGGGTTGGGTGCAAAGGGATACTGCTGGAACTTCGCGCTGCCCCAAGACAAAGCCAACATGAGGGTCAACAAGAACGCATTCCGAATTCCCTTTGGTTAGGCTGGTTGATATTGCATTTCAGCGTCTGGTTCCCGGTGCATGTAGAGAAAACCCGGGAATAGTCCCACAAACTTGTCCTTCCTGGGTGGTGAGGTGAAGCTTTCCGATGTCAACTAAAGCTCACTCAATGTATGTTAGAGTGTTGCACCTGGAAGAGGAAGGGTCGTCAGGCATTCAGACTTTGCTCATCATGTACGGTCGCCTTGTGCTGCATCCACTTTGGCATAGCGAAGCACATAAGCACATAGCATTCGCGCCCTCGTCCCCTGGCCGACCTCTAGCATGCCCAGGCACTCCCCTTTTCCTTCCTTCATTCCTGGCACGGCATCGCAACTACACGTTCTGTGACTCCAAGTGGCGGGAACGACTCAGAGAATGGGTTCGGTGCTGGCAGTGGGTAGTCCTTCCGATCGCACCGGCTTTGTATCGCAAGTTTCAAGTTGTAGGGCTCTTTGGTGTGGCAAAAACCGTCAAGCAAGGCTGTCCTCCCAACTGCTGATGCCCAGAAACAGAATCTCGTCCTTGAACTGCTGAAACAACTTCCTTGCATCTTGCAGTGCGGTCTTGAACACGATCATGAAGGAGCTGCCGGTTTCTCGTATTGAGTGGCATCTGTCTGCGACTACTCAGCATGCAAGCGCTGACCTGTGGCCAAGGCGCTCTTGGCGCTTAGACCGAAAGGGTGAGCGGACTAGAATGATGTTGACCTGAGTTAGCCCACCGACAACGTGGACTACATCGACAAAATTAGGCAGCTCTCCCACGACACGTTTCAGACAGTAGCACCTGATACCTGCCGCTACATGCAAAACGATTCGCAGCAGCTAAACCGATGGACCTCTACTGAGCTCAGCAAGGTTGCAAAGTCTCCTCTCTCATTGCGCACCGGCTGGAATGGGTACCTTGGAATATGGTTCTTCTGGTGCGCTAGCCGCTAGCAGGTGCTAGCTCAGCTTGCATGGTGCCGAAAGGGCAATCCCCAGGTTGTTGAACGTGAGCAACGTGCTCCACAGCCTTTTTGAAACTTGCGATGC